AAGTAGTAACGAGGCTAAGGCAAGACACCTAGAAATCAACATGTACAATTTAACAGTCTATGTACAAATAACAGTTATGAAGAGCTAGACAAGAATTATCGGGAGGGGGAAACATGCTGGGGGAAATACGAACTAAAGGACTACAGCAGAATGATAACTGGAACAATCAATTTACTATGAATCAACAGGAATAATGAATACAGTAAAGGAAAAATGCACTGCATCACCCTTCGTGCTTTTACTGTTAATCTCGCCATAAAATCAATAGAAATGGCACGGTATCACCCTTCGTGCATTAACTCTCATATCATGGCACGACATCACCCTTCGTGCTTTTACACTCACAATATAGCACGATATCACCTTTCGTGCATTAACACTGACAAATGGTACAGCATCACACTTCGTACATTAACACTAACAATATGGCACGACATCACCCTTTGTGCATTAACACTTCCCCTTATCATAATGCAATGCATAAATAACAATAGGGAGATAGAATAACAAGTACAAGCCTTACTTCAATATTTGGTTCCACAATATCAATCTCAACTTTGAAATAAATACTTGATTATCACCAGAAAATACATAAATATGATAAGAATGATCAATTTAACAACACTAGTATAAACACGTAATTAGGCATAGGAAAACGACAATATAAGAAAAACGGAAGAAACATGGAAAACAGGTAAATTGGCGGCGCATAAGTACTCGTCACCTCACATATACGCCGCTCACATGAATTTCACATAGCAAATAGTCTAAGGTTCCTAATTCCCTCAAGTCAGGGTTAGACACAATACTTACTTTGCTCCGAAGGCCACTTAATTCTCAATCACAGCTTTTCCCCTAGAATTCACCTCCAAACCACTCGTATCTTTCAAAAATGACTCAATAATATCAAATATTGCTAAAGGAATCAATTACATTGCATAAAATAAATTTCCCAAATTTTTCCTCCAAAAAGTCAAAAAATCGACCCCGGGCCCGCTTGGTCAAAACCCGAGGTTCGGACAAAAATTTATTTACCCATTCACCGCCGAGCCCGGATATATAATTGGTTTTGGAATCCGACCTCAAATTGAGGTCTAAATCCCCAAAATTTTGAAATTCCTAGTTTCTACCCAAAACCCTAATTCTACCATAAAAACTCTAGATTTTAGGTTGAAATCTTGAAAAATATAGTGAAAGATTGAAAGAAACTAGTTTAGAATCACTTACCTATGATTTGGGGAAGAAATGGTCTTTGGAAAATCGCCTCTTGTGTTTTAGGTTTTGAAGATTTGGGAAATGAATCAAAAATCCCGTCCAAAAGTTATTTTGATCAGCTGCAGATGTCGCATTTGAGACCTGAGCTTCGCAATTGCGAAGCTCGCAAATGCGAGAAAGGTATTGCAAATGCGAATTTGTCGCATTTATGCTTCTGTCGTAAATGCGAATATTTTGTTCGTAAACGGGGAACTGGGATCGCAATTGCGACCCCTTTCTTCGCAAATGCAAAGAACCCCTTCCCCAGACCAACTTCGCAAATGCGAAGTTGTCTTCGAAATTGCGAAGACTGTATGGCACAGCTACTCTTCGCAATTGCGATGAGTAGCTCGCAATTGCATCACTGTCAGGGTTCGCAATTGCGAACTCTGATCTCGCAATTGCGAGATCAGAGGCCAACACCATAGCTGGAACACCAGCAACATTTCTAAGTCCAAATTTCACTCTGTAGCCTATCCGAAACTCACCCGAACCCTCGGGGCTCCAAACCAAACATGCACACAACAAGTCCAAATACATCATACAAACTTGCTCGCGTGATCAAATCGCCAAAATAACACCTAGAACTACGAATTTAGTACCAAATCAAATGAGATTCTCAAGAACACTTTATAATTTTTATTTTCTCAACTGGACGTCCGAATCACGTCTAACCAACTTCGTTTCTCACCAAATTTCACAGATAAGTCATAAATATTATATTGGACCTACACCGGGCTCCGGAACCAAAATACGGATCCGGTACTAACAATGCCAAACATCAATCAGTTCTTAAAAATAATAAATTTTTAAACTTTTAATTTTCATAAAAAATGCATAACTCGACCTGGGGACCTTCGAATTCGATTTCGGGCATACGCCCAGGTCCCATAATTCGATACGGACCCACCGGGACTATCAAAATATGGATACAGGCCCGTTTACCAAAAATATTGATCGAAGTCAACTAAAATCAACTTTTAAGGCAAAATTTCTTATTTTCTTCAATTTTCAACATAAAAACTTTCCGGAAACATGCCCGGACTGCGCTCGCAAATCGTGGAGGGTAAAAATGAGATTTTTAAGGCTTAAGAATGCATAATCGAGTTCTAAAACATAGGATGACCTTTTGGGTCATCACATCCATTGACTGGAGCGTGAAGCTACTCGCTTGTCTTAAGAGCCGTTGGGGTTTTCGATGAGAGAGAAAATCGGGATATTACTTTCTATTTGGTGACCTCCCGTAGGACGCCATAAGACTTACAAATATGTATATTAATGGAAAGTTGAATTTTACTCTCCGTGAGACTTCAATGCAGAATTTTTTCACGATTAATGGAGGCAGTGACAAATTCAAGATTTAAACATCGTAGATTTTGACTTGAAAGTGTGAATTATAAATTTTGTTTATATATAGAGAGAAAAAGTTCAAAGCGAAAATAATAATTTTAGTTAGAGTTCAAAGCGAAAATAATAATTTTAGTTGAATCTGCAGAATTCACACTTCATCAGCCATTAATAAGGCCCAAAGCCACTATTTCCCTACCATTCATTATGCTTAAACATTCCACAATTACCTGAACAGGTAGATATATGCGCAGTGGCGGATGCAGTACTCGGACATCGAATTCATCTGAATCCAGTACTTTCGATGTAGATCATAAATTTATATATAAAAATGCATCAAAATTACAATAAATAGTAAATCTGAACCCATAATTTTAAGGTTGAACTCATAAAATTTAAATCTTAAATTGATAGAATAGTCGAGCAATAGCCACTATTTTAAATATGCCCAAAACGAATGGTCCATATCGTTATGTTTTTGAAGATCTTCAATCTTTTGAAGGGACCCAAGGAGTTATTGCATGTCATATGAATGACAAATGAAGCACAAATTAATTCATGCTTTCTAAATGATATTACTATTTACAGTCCATATTATTTGTCTTTTAAAGTTTTTACCTAAATAATAAATATTTTTCATTTTTTCTGAAATATCAAATATTTTGAAATAAATTTCCTTTGTCAAAACAACTAATTTTTGTAACTGGAGGGGGCAGAATGGAATATAAGTTATATTTAATTATTCACCTTTCCTAGGAAACAAAAACAATGATATTGTCATTAATTTGTAATGACATTTTTCATTAATGATGACTGATGAGTCAAACAATATTTAAAATTTTGGAAATTCAGTAGGTATAATGATTTAGTCATGCAATATGAACAATAATAATCCTGTTAACAGAGGCGGAGCTAAATGGGTAGAAGAGGGTTCAGCTGGTCCATCAGCTGAACCCTTTCCTTGGAAAATTATAAGATCAATTTTCCGATAATCGGTTCGGGTTCCTGCCGGGTCGTTCGACTACAGAAGCTATACGCCTTGTTAGGAGGTTGGTAGAATTGTACAGAAAGAGGAAGAAGGATTTACACATGATCTTTATTGACCTAGAGAAAGCGTATGACAAGGTTCCTAGAAAAATTCTCTGGAGATGCCTGGAGGCAAAAGGTGTGTCGGTTCCCTACATTATGGCGATTAAGGACATGTATGATGGGGCTAAGACTCGGGTTAGGACAGTAGGAGGCGACTCTGAGCATTTT